ACCTACCTACCTACCTACCTACCTACCTACCTACCTACCTACCCTCTTTCTCTCCCTACCTACCTACTGTATTTCTCTCCCTCTCTCTCTCTCTCCCTCTTTCTCTCCCTCCCTCCCTCCCTCTACCTACCTACCTACTTTTTTTTAAAAAAATCCTCTTCAAAACCTTGGTGCGTCTTATACTCCGGTGCATCTTATACTCTTAGAAATGTGGTATATTAAACTTTGACCCACAGTCAGATCTGAAATGCAATTACAGCATCTCTGCCTTCTTAAGTGAATTCTAGCATGCAGCTTTATCTACTGTGAAAACTGTAGATAAACATCATTAAAAAATTTGTCCACACATTGAACAAGTGTTGGCTTTGTGGCTATTTCCACTGATTAGTCCAATCCAAGCAGATGCTTCATTTCTTGAGAGAGACCATAGATGTCTGCAAGAGGAGGTACAGCTTCCTTCCCCAGAGGTGTTCCATTCCAGGTCCCATCATCTCCAACCATCATGATGAACAAAAAAATATTTCTGATGGAATGTTTTCAAAACCAGAAGGGTTTTTGTCCCAGTATGAAGTTGGAATTCCTTCTGGTCCAAGTATCCGTTCTTCTTGATTTGGTAGACCTAAAAGCCAGCACTGGAGCAAAGTTCTAATTCTATAGGTCTTCTACAGCCCTTCGGACCTCGAGAACTCATTACCTCTGCTGAGATTGGAGCTGCATTGCTCCTGAACCCAGAGGACAGATTGTGTGGGCTGAAAAAAATCAATTGCTTGCAGATCCTGTTGCTAAATTTCTCCTTAGGAATCTGCTCCCTCTCTCTTCATCCAATGCAGCTGCTGGCAGGCCACCAACTTGCTTTCTGAGCCTCCCCTTGGAAGGTTCCTGGGGGATCTCTTGGCCTTGAGACAACTGTGGGAAGACCAGAAGGGCCTCTGATGGAGGACCAGCAAACTCCATTTGGCATGGAAGGGAAACAAAATCAAAATAAAGAAAGGAAAAGCATGACTCACAGCTATTAATAGTGAAACATTGGCAGGTGTGGAAAGGCAACTTATTATTAAGTCTCTACTGTGCAATCCAGAACTCAGCTGGTCTCCCCGTTGTAAAGTTTGCACTTGAGGTGTGTCCAGCGCCATGGTTTCTTCCTTCCCATGTCATCCCTTCTTATTTCTGGTGGAATCTCTTATCCTGTCGTGTCATCGAGAAAGAAGTTATGTATTGTACTTGAGGCTGGTCTCTGGTGGGTCTGCTGTGCTTCTGGGTCAGGGATTCTTCGTGCCCCTCCTACCCAATTTTGACAGCTATCTCTGTAAGCCACAGGAGGCCATGAGATGGGCAAGGCAGCAATGCTCAACTGTGGAGTAAATTTTGAAGGGATGTACAGCTCCTTGAGTGTCCTTCCAACTTTTTTTGTAGCGGGTATATAGTTCCTGAAAGTGCCTTAAGATTATTAAATAACATTTCCTGTCCTTGCAAGTTTTCATCTGAAACTCTGTTTTTAAAGTCATTTAAAGACTTTTAATTACTTTTAAAGACTTGTAAGGGATCACATGGCTGTGAAAAGCATCTGACAGGCTGTTTTTAAAGACTTTTAATGACTTTAAAAGACTTTTAATTACTTTTAAAGACTTTTAATAGATCGCATGGCTGTGAGAAACATCTGAAAGGCTGTTTTTAAAGACTTTTAATGACTTTAAAAGACTTTTAATGACTTTAAAAGACTTTTAAGAGATCGCATGGCTGTGAAAAACATCTGAAAGGCTGTTTTGAAAGACTTTTAATGACTTTAAAAGACTTTTAAATACTTTTTAAGACTTTTAATAGATCGCATGGCTGTGAAAAACATCTGAAAGGCTGTTTTGAAAGACTTTTAATGACTTTAAAAGACTTTTAAATACTTTTAAAGACTTTCAATAGATCGCATGGCTGTTAAAAAACACCGGAAAGGCTGTTTTTAAAGACTTTTAAAGACCTTTAAAGCACTTCTTTACAAGCTGGCAGCTGCTTTTCATCCCACCACTCCACGGGCCGGATACTTTACATTGGCAGGCCCTAGTTTGAGGATGTCTAGCTTAAGGTATTGTACTGTGCCAACTCAGCCACCATTGGTTTGTTCAAAAAGCCAAGATTAAGCCATGTCGTAGGAACCCAGGGAGTTTATGTATTAGGACTTCTGAGCACTTTTCTCAGTTTAAGCTTTTTCTTTGTAATGTTCAACAGTTTCCGTCTTGGCCAGCTCTCTTCGGAATTGCCCAGGATAGAAGTTCTGTGGGCAAAGCTGGCGCCCACCCTTACCGCGAACTCATTATGGTCTACCCCTAAAAATAATGTAGGACTGCAGTCCTTCATGTTCTGAACACAGAGCTGATTTAAATTAGGAACACAGGAAGCTGTTTTGGTCCCCTCGAGCTGACTCAGTCGATGGAGATCAGGCTTGGTTGCCAGATCTATTTGAAGAGGCTAACAATGGCCCTATTTGGAGATGTCTAGAACATAAGGAGAAACCCTCAGGATCAGGCCAAGGGCTATGTTAGTCTAGCATTTTGTTTCTTAGCAGCAGAATTTTTTTTTGGGGGGGGGGCTTACAAGCAGAAGTTGGAGATGTCCCTCTTGCTTGGAATTTGTATGTCTGTTTGTCCCCTTCAGCTTGAGGGGACAAATAGCTCTGATTCCCCATTCTCCACGAATTTATCCAATCTCACATTAATACAATCTATGTTAGTGAGAGCACCACATCTTATGGCAAAGAATTCCACAGACCCTCCTCCTCCTCCTCCTCCTCCTCTCCTCCTCCTTCTCTCCCTCCCTCCCTCCCTTTGTCTGAATCTGCACATAAGAAAGGCACTTGGTAGGGTTTTGATTGCTGATCCCACTTCAACTATGGTAACCAGAACTGCCATTCCAGATGTGGCTAGGCCATAGGGCTCTAGAAACAACGAAATCTGGGCCTTTGGCCAATAAACTCTCCGCCACGCCATGAAGATCCAGCTCCTTCTCATTGATTGTGGGAGATACACCACTCTCATCTCAAACGAGGAAAGAAATGGATGCAAATTACTACTGGGAAGCCCAGAGCTCCGTGGAATTGCGGGACAGCGGAAACATTAAACTGTTTTTCCTAACGTGACAAAATCCCACCGGTCTTTATTTGGAGTTAAACTCTCTTGAATGACCTTTAGAGTAGGTTTCAGCCCAGTGGAAAAGCTTTAGCTCAATTATCTTCCCAGCTGAGTGCTTTCTACTTGGTGAATCTATGAATGAAATCAGCATACATCTCCACATGGTTTTAATAGCCTTAAAAAGCAAGCGCGCCTCTTTCATTTTTTTTTTTTTAAAACTAGTGCATAGAGAAGCCATGGAGAGGATCCTTTCTCAAGAGGCCTTCCTTCCGGACACAAGAGGAAAATGCTTCTTCCTTTATCACTTCCTTTCACTGTAAGGGTAAAGGCACTGGTGGGATTCAGCCGGTTCGCACCTATTCGGGAGAACCGGTTGGTAACATTCTAAGCAGTTCAGAGAACCGGTTGTTGGAAGAAATCTCCTTTTGTTTTTTTCCCCACTTTACAGGACTAATCCTGTAAGGAAGGCAGGGAGGAAACATTCTGGTGTTGTTTCTAGCCTCATCTTTATTGCCCTGCTTACAGAAACTGCCTCTCCAGTTAACCCTTATTACCATTGTAACAGCTAAGGCGAAGTTCCCATTGACCTGAGTGACGTTGAGTTGGCCATGCCCACATGATCACATGACTAACAAGCTCCCCCCTACCCAGCTGGTCATTAGGGCAGAGAACTGGTCGGTAAATTATTTGAATCCCACCACTGGGTAAAGGGTACTGTGGGGGTCCTTGGTGCTCTCTGAGGTGGGTTGTTTTCTTGCAGGCTTTTCATGACCTGGCCAAGGTCACATCATCAGTGTTGAGTGTAAGATTAACACTAGACCAACAATCAAGCAGTCAACAATATCCCAATCAAGGAACCGTCAGCTCAGGCAAACAAGTTAATACCTAGTGGGCAACAGGCTAATCAAAGAACCCCCCAACTCCCACCAACACTGATAGACCAAGTTACTTATACAGTGTATAAAAAGAGAGCAAATCCCACTTCCTTCTAGCACTGATGATGTTACCTAGTTGGATCATGAAACATCTGCAAGAAAACAACCAGGCTCAGAGAACACCAAGGACGCCACAGTCCTCCTCATCCTCCTCATCCTCCTCATCCTCCACATCCTCTTCATCCTCCTCGTCCTCCTCATCCTCTTCATTCTCCACATCTTCCTTGTCCTCCTCATCCTCCTCATCCTCCTCATCCTCTTCATCATCCACATCCTCCTTGTTCTTCTCATCCTCCTCTTCCTCCACATCCCCTTCATCCTCCTCGTCCTCCTTGTCCTCCTCATCCTCCACATCCTCCACATCCCCTTCATCCTCCTCGTCCTCCTCATCCTCTTCATCCTCCTCATCCTCTTTGTCCTCCTTGTCCTCCTCATCCTCCTCATCCTTCACATCCTCTTCATCCACCTCATCCTCCTCATCCTCTTCATTCTCCACATCTTCCTTGTCCTCCTCATCCTCCTCATCCTCTTCATCCTCCTCATCCTCTTCATCCTTTTCAACCTCCACATCCTCTTCATCCTCCAAATCCTCTTCATCCTCCACATCCTCTTTATCCTCTTTGTCCTCCTCATCCTCCTCATCCTCTTCATCCTCGTCTTCTTCTTTTCTCCATTCCCTTCTAGCTTTGATAACGTTACCTAGTTGGGTTGTGAAACATCTCAAGGGCTGGATTCCACCTGAACCTTGACATAAAAGTTGCTGCTACCCCACTGCCTCAAGAACCCCCCCCCTGGAATCTTTCTTTGAGATCCAATGGATTTAGGGAGCTGGAGGGCTGGGAACAACCCCAGAGAAAACAGCCGCACACCCCTTTTTCCCCCTAGGATGAACATAAATGCTCATTTCCTTTCAAAGAATGGCTCTCCTTAGAAGAAGGCTCTCTTCTGAAAAGAGGCTGACAGACAGAGGTTGACAGAGGTTTTCCTTCTCTCCAACCCCCACCTGAAAAACCGAGAGCTTCTTTCCTCCTGTGGCTTTGTAAAGGAGAGGCAAGTTTCCAGGACCCAAATATACAACCCAGCTTTTCTTTCCACTTGAGAACAAGGCACGGGAGGCGTTAAATGATGGCTCTCCTCAACCTAACCCCAAGATAGTTTTAGAAGCGGTGAAGGTTGCGGAAACCAAAGGCAGAATCAGAGCTTTGCCCTTCTCCATTCTGCCGGCCCACCTTCCTCTCTCTCTCTCTCCCTCTCTCCCTCTCCCTCTCTCTGTCTTTCTCTCTCTCTCTCTTTCTGTCTCTCTCTCTCTCTCTTTCCCTCTCTTTCCCTACTCTCTCTCTTTGTCTGTCTATTTCTCTCTCTCTCTCTCTCTCTCTCTCTCTCTCTCCCCCTTCTCTGTCTTTTTCTGTTTATCTCTTTCTCTCTTTCTGTCTCTCTGTCTTTCTCTGTCTTTCTATGTCTTTCTATTTATCTCTCCCTCTCCCTCTTTCTCTCCCTCTCTTAATTTCTTTGCAGAGCTCATATTGCAAAGATGCAGTGGATATTTAAACCGCGCCAAGCCATTGCTGTTGGAAATGTTCTCAAGGTGTGCCTTTTTCCGGTTGCTATGCCCTCAGGCAAAAATTGTCCACCCCAACAGGACTTCAGAGTCCAACTTGAGGTTTCCACTTGACGTTTGTTCTCTCTCCCTCTCTCTCTCTCTCTCTCCCTCCCTCTCTCTCTCTTTCTCAGCCAACACGGTCTTCTTCTCAACCAGCCCCCGCCTCGGTTCTCAGAGGAAATGACACCAGCATCCCTGAAATTCTGTGGGACAGGATGCATTAAAAAAAAGAAAAGACCACCGACATCCTTGTTTTTAGAAACGCAAGCAGAGGAGAAGGATGGCCACGTTCCTTGGGGACCTTCCTTGCTCCCAAAGGCAGAGAGGTTTCATTCCTAGATTTAGTCTGTTGGCAAGAAAGGATCTGTTTTTAATTAATACACTCCGTTTCTTGGCAGCCGGCTTCCTTTTGCTGATGTAGCACGCATCATCTCCAATCTCTCCCAGAAGGCCCCCCCAGATTCTGTCTGTTGTGCAGGGCCAAATAATAATTTAAAAGAGATGAGGCATCGGGGGGCTCTCATTTACAGGGAGTGGGTGGCTGGATAAGGAGAATCCTGACCGAGTTCATTTTGTGCTGTTAATTCTCACAGATTTGGTCGACTGGAATTGAGAAGGCAGAGTCTGGTTCGGTTTTTGTCTACGGAGATGCTCAGCCCTCCCGGGGTCCCAAAGGTGCTTTTTCAGAAGGCAACTGGACTTTCTTGGCTTTCCTTGGAGATATTTCCTTTCTGAAGAACTGAAGAAGCTTCTTGGAATGGGAAGTGAAACGTCTTCAGGGAAAACCAAGGAAGTCCAGTTGCCTTTTGGAAAAGCACTTGGATTTTTGGTTATAAGAAGCTACAAGCCACATATATCCAGTGGTGAAATTCAAATGTTTTTACTACAGGTTCTGTGGGCATGGCTTGGTGGGCAGGGGCAGGGAAAAGATACCACAAAATCTCCATTCCCTCCCCACTCCAGGGGAAGGATACTGCGAAATCTCCATTCC